TGTCATTATTTCTCACACTGGTACTTTATTATCATTTAGTGAAGGTCAAATGTCTCTTTTCTGAAGACCCAGTTACCTCATTGACTTTCTAGGCACCAGCTCACCTGTTGAGAGGATACCTTAATAATAAATGAATTGTGAACTGCAGGCAAGGGGTGCATGTCAGCAGGCCTTAAGGATTTAAATGCTGAGAGGTTTATTGCTTAAGAAGGGTGGAGTCAGACAGTGGTTTTTAAGATAGTTGAAGATGGTTTGATAGAGCCATTGTTACCTGTCATTATGTAGCCATTTCCTTTTGTCCCACTCTAACCTTTGAAACATAGCAAAAACTTGCAGAACCTGTTTGATCAGAGATATTTATGCTACAGGGGAAAATGAGCATGTGTACTATAAGCAACAATGTCTGTATAATACTGTTCCCACCCCACCCCACCCCCATCACCTGTCATTAACCTAGAGATTAATATAGGGCTGCCATACGTCCTGATTTTCCAGGAAATTACTAGGATTTCAAAAAAGCTCAACAACCTTTGGGGTGTCCTAGATTAACAAAAGCACAGGTGTTTGAAGACTTTTGCCACTAGTCAGACTGATTAAGACGATTACTGATATCCAACAAAACACAGCAGCTGCGTATCTGTGAAATCCACCTTTTGGAGCTGCACTTCTCCATTTTCTAGCACCCCCTCCCCTCAAATGCAATAAAATTGCCACCCTCAGTTTTCTTGCTGAAAACATATCAAGAATTAGGCTGGAATTCCCTCCCTCTCTCATTACATTAGAACCCTGGGTCATCTAATGAAGCTGAACGTTTGAAGATTCAGAACAGGCAAAAAAAAGAAGAGAGGTGATAAGTTCAAAGTCAGAGTTAAGTAAAATAATATTAAACTGTTAAAAACTATTTTTAAAGGCCTGGTAGAGGAGAAGAGATTTTCCCCCTGGTGGTGAAAATACATTATAGCAGGTGCCAGGCAATTCTATTTGGGGAGAACATTCCACAAATGGGGCCACCACCAAAAAACCCCCTCACTGTTATTGCCACGCTCTGGGCTGGGTGGATGTTCTTTGGGTCCCGAAAGAATATGTGAAACTAGGGAGAGCCTGGATCAAGATACAATACAGTGGTACCTCGGGTTAAGAACTTAATTAGTTCTGGGGGTCCGTTCTTAACCTGAAACTGTTCTTAACCTGAAGCACCACTTTAGCTAATGGGGCCTCCTGCTGCCGCTGTGCGATTTCTGTTCTCATCCTGAAGCAAGGTTCTTAACCCGAGGTACAATTTCTGGGTAAGTGGAGTCTGTAACCTGAAGTGTCTGTAACCCGAGGTACCACTCTAAATGTTAAGGCCCTGCAGATACATGACTCAGCATCCAGGGTTTGGAGAAAAGAAAGGGGGCGGGGAAGCCCCTTACCCTGAATTGTTGAGAAAAACATTTGAGGGTCTCATGCTGGAAGCTCACCTTCTTTACTAAGCCCCTGCTGTGCTTGCTGGTTTTGTAGGGAATTAGGGAGAGTGCATTCAGCCTCATGGCAGACAGGGGAGAGCAGAACTGCTCCCATCCTCATCGGGGATTATTGCAACTCGGATTTTAGAAGAGACATACATTTGTGTGTGTGTGTGTGTGTGTGTGTGTGTGTGTGTGGTTGCTTGTATGACAAGCATTGCAGAATGTTTGAAGACGATTAAGGTAACACACATGCACACGAAAGCTTATACCCAGAACAAACTTAGTTTGTCTCTAAAGTGCTACTGGACAATTTTTAAATTAATTTCTTCATGCATTTGCTTGATATATGAAGTCTTAATTGTGGAAAGGCATGGTGGGTGGGCAAGCAAACACACACAATCTTCACCTACTCCACAAACTGTGTATAGGCTTTATGATGGTTTTCTTGTTCTCTTAGGCAAAGTTATCATTTTTTTTCTACAACCCTAATGAAGAGAGAAAGCTGCTTTGCGAAAAGACCTTCTAAAACTGACCTTCAGACACATTTTATTCAACTGCCTTACCAGCAGATTTCCTACTCTTAATTAGCCCACTCTCCCTTGATTAATTCAGCAATGTAGCAATTCAGTGTTTGCTATTTCAGTTATGTGATCAACAGTACACTGTAATTATTCACGACTAATTTAACTAGGGCATAGTAAATGTATCTCCTCTAGTGTTTATTTTCAAGGAGGCTTACTTACTATAAAAAATGCTTCCCTTAAGTCAGTGAGAAAGGTTTTCCCCTTTAGTAAGAACCAATGGAGTGAGCCGGTTATGGAAGAATCATTCTGTTCATACATTTTTGTTGTTTCCTTACTGAGCCTTGCTGGCTCACAGAATATGCTCTGGCTAATGTAGAACATGAGCACCTCTCAAGACTCAGGCTTGCAGAAGGTGTTGAGTTGGCAACTGGATGGATATCATTTGTGGATTCATCCCTGATCATTGTTGTTACAGCTCAGGCTGATGGGAGTTGGAGTCCTAACAATGTCAGTGTCACAGACTCCCCATTCCTGCCCATATGCCATACAGGTTAGACTTGCTCACTGCCCTGAGTCGGGTGTTTCCATTTCCCGAGATAAGCCCTCTTCAGATATTCATAGCTCACACAATGGGGGAACCGAAGGGGCTGGATTCCCTGGTCTTGGCCCCTCTGCTACACCTCCATTAGTCTGGTCTCTCTACTGACCATGTGGTGTGCATTGCAGTGCTGTGCATTATCTCAGTCGTTTGGATGCCTTTCCAAAGTCTTGGACAAAAAGTAGGCTTTCAACCAAAGACCCATTCTGCATATGTGCCGAATCTCTCTTTCTCCCCTGAGCTGTTAAAATTCTGGGAGAAATGACAGTTGATTCATAATTCATCTGAGCGTTACAAGCCAGGCAGATCTGTGTCCTGTATTTGTATTCTGAACCAGGCAGTGATGAAGTTCAGCATGGAGGAAGGTGGCAGAATCCATAGAAATAAAGAGACATGTTTTGCATATCCCTTGTAGTTAATGATCTTAAATTCTGCCTGCTTTTCAGTACTTCACAGTAGTGCTGCTCATGTGATATTCAGACAAATAAAGGTTTTGGAAGGCCATCTTTACAAGGCTTGTGTAAGATTTGTGGGGTCCCTGGGCAAAGATGCCCTAAGTTGCCCAAGTGCCCTCTGTTGATGGATTGTGGTTTTACCTGGCAGTGATGGCGGATAGCAGCAGAAGCAATGCTCAGAGCAGCATTAGGTGGCTGGATCTAGCTGCCATTTAGTTCCCACAATGTTTGTAAGTGATGCTACACTTTGGGCATTGTGGGGAACAAGACCTAGCTGCCTGGTAGCCCCGGGCAAGTGTCAGGGACCTAATGCTAGGGATGGCAGAGACTGTGGTTTGGCCCACATTTTTAAGCAGACTGAACTAATTAGCACCACCCAGACCTATATATAGATTGAAACTAATACATGCGATCATCTTTCAAGTAGAGACCTTTAATCTCAGGGTTGTGAGTTGTGTTGGGCAAAAGATTCCTGCATTGCAGAGGGTTGGACTAAATGACCCTCATGGTCCCTTCCAACACTACAATTCAATGATTCTATGATCTCCAACATTTGTGAGATATGTCTCAGCTCAGAACATGTTCTAAAATGCATAAAAATAACACATTCAATGTGTTTAGAAAGGAATACACTGGGTTAAAATATGCATTAAAAATAAATTTTTAAATTTAAATATGTTTTATTATGATAGCACATAAAATAAAATAAAATACTTTTAATATAAAATATTTAAATATGTAGTGTGCTAAAATACATATTTAAATGTAAATCTTGTGTATTTTTTTTAACACAACAACAACAACCCAGAGTTTAAGATGGAAACAGAAGGGAATAGAAATGAATGAACACATGAGAAACAATCATGGGCCAGAGACAGACTGATTCATTCATCCCAACCTACCTCAGACCATGGCAGCTTGATGCCATCTGCTGATGCCAGGCCTATATATATGGGTATTTTTTTCTCCTCCACCATCTAGCTTTTAAACCCTACCATTGAACTTCATTGCTTTAACTGACAGTTTTAGAGGACCAACTTTCCTTCCTTGTGGTATTTCCGTTTGGAATCTTACAATGAGTTTATTTGATTGTTAGAATTGATTCTGAATATGCTTAAATCACCCAGCATCACACGGGAGGAACCAAGCATAGCTGTACTAGAGATTAGCTTTCATGCAGTTGGATTTTCCCAGCTTTCTCCCTACGCCCCTGCAAAATGTCATGCCCTTCACATATCACTTAGCTAACAAATGGCAATAATTTGGATGGAGAGGGTGGTTGTTGGAGCGTGGATAAAACAATCCACTTTTAGTAAGGTCTCTATAAAGAATCGAAATCAAGAATTGTCTCTGAAAATAGAATAGTAATTCTGAGTAAATTCCACATGCTTCCCCCCTCCCCAACACGTCCAGAGGAGGGCAAGCAAAATGGTCAAAGGCCTGGAAACGATGCCTTATGAGGAACGGCTAAGGGAGCTGGGCATGTTTAGCCTGGAGAAGAGGAGGTTAAGGGGTGATATGATAGCCATGTTCAAATATATAAAAGGATGTCACATAGAGGAGGGAGAAAGGTTGTTTTCTGCTGCTCCAGAGAAGCGGACACGGAGCAATGGATCCAAACTACAAGAAAGAAGATTCCACCTAAACATTAGGAAGAACTTCCTGACAGTAAGAGCTGTTCGACAGTGGAATTTGCTGCCAAGGAGTGTGGTGGTGTCTCCTTCTTTGGAGGTATTTAAGCAGAGGCTTGACAACCATATGTCAGGAGTGCTCTGATGGTGTTTCCTGCTTGGCAGGGGGTTGGACTCGATGGCCCTTGTGGTCTCTTCCAACTCTATGATTCTAACTTTAACTTGGGTATACAAGTTATGCATGACCCCCTTTGTCTTACATTGGTTTCATTGCAGCCAGTATATTTTCAGCCTCATCCTAAATCTCTGCAAGGGACCACAAGGGTCACAATGCAGAAATCTTTTGCCCAATGTGGGGCTCAAACCCACGACCCTGATATCAAGAGTCTCATGCTCTACCAGCTGAGCTAAATGTTTTAAGCACGGCCTGCTGGATTTATTTCCAGATAAGTGTGCATTGAATATCAGCCTAAACATGCATAGAATCAAGTGTGAGCCTGAGTTTTCAAGCTGAGGCCACAGCAGTGTTATTTATAACTTGTTTCGTGAATATATTTGTTGTGAAAATTATTTTGCTTGTTTGAGTGATTGCAAAGAAGCTACTCTATCCATGTCTACAGATGATGTTTGCACAAGGAGTACAGATTCAAACTTATATTTCTGATCTTGATTATTTGCCATTTTCAAAAACGGCAGGGTGCAGGTGGGTGTTCTGTATGTAATAATTTCAGATAGCTTGAAAATTTGTTGCAGGGGGTCAGAACATTTTTTTTAGAAGCAATGTATATATCTTAAGCCAGTATATTTCCTTGAACCTCTGGTTGAGTTTAGCAAGTGCTTAATATGGTCTTGTAAAAACCACTTACCTAGTTAAATAGGGTAAATATTTTCTTTAGGCAGGAAAGCTTTTTTTTTTTTTTTAGGGGGGAAATGGTTTCTTTTTAGGAAAATTAATCTGGGCATGTGACTATCATAGGCATGTGTCAGTGAATAAGCTAGTAAAATGTTATTGGACTCATTACTTTATTTATAAGACATAAGCTGTTGCGCTTGTTGGGGACAGCTCCACCCCCCCCCCATGTGTGGAAATCTGCACAAGTTTATTCTTTCAGTGGAGTTGGGCATATTGATCTGGTCCTGTGCTGAAGGTGGTTCATTGGGTGCCTGGAAAAGAAATTTAGCATGTTGTGGTCTACTCCTCTAAGAATTTACCATGGTTAAAGACTTGTTGAAGAACGAACAAAATTAGTGCAACATATTGTTTGCACATAAAGCTCATAAGAAGTAACAGCTTGTGAGAATCTTATATGGGGAAACGGTAAGGACACATATTGGATATAGTTCAGAAAATCGAAGAGCTTTCATACATAAACCTTAACTCGTACACATTAACGTAGATATTCCTTCTCTCTCTCTGTCTTACACACACACACACACACACACACACACACACACACAGACACACTGCAGAGGAGTGTTCTGACCACTAGATGGCCAGTCTAGGAGATCAGAGTGACAATGATCAAAGAGTGTAACTGTAGCATCAGGTGTGTCATGTTTCTCCAAGTGGATGCAGAGTATTTGCTTCACATCTTCACCCTTAGATAGTATCTTCTGCCCAGGCTCTTATATTAAAGCTTTTTTTCAATGAATCCGGGGACACTTTTCAACTTCAATGGATTTTGTATGGGGACTGATTTGTAAATCCGGTGAAGTCTGGTAACCTTATCTTTTATTCTTCACCCATAGCTATCAGCGGATAGGTCTCCTAGACCTCCTTTCACACCAGTAGTTGTGGGGCGTATTAGAGGATGGGGCCATTGTTATGGTTACAATAGATTACAGTCTGTAGAATCTTTTTCTCTCTAGCAGCAACATACTCAGAAAGAATAATTATGGCTATGTGCTTCTGTACTCACTATCACCAATTATACTCTGGTTGAAATGAAAGGCAGGCTAGGTCTTATTGCATTATGAAACAACTGCACTTCATTGTACTCAAGCAGAAGAACTTTATGTGTGATTCCCACTGTCTTTCTGAGTTTGGATTATTTAATCTAAGTGGGGGCTATCGGAGGTATGGATGGAATTTTCTGAAAATCTCGACATGGAGCTTATCTGCATGGATTTTTCCATGAAGGGGTTTCATTGAATGGTTTTGCTAATAGGGCTTGACTCATACATATTATACATGAATTTGGATATATAATTTTGTGTATAATTAGCTGGGCTTTTAAAAATGAATAAATAAACAAATCCTGATGTATCACAAGTGGCTTGGACCTAAGCAGGTGGTTGATGCGAGAGGCAGTTGAATATGGGCATGACATAGTTGGGTTGGAACAGTCAAATCCCATGGACAGGTTAAAATGGATCCCCCAGGCTGCATTCCTCCTGATCTACAGCTGAAAGCTGTGGCTATTGATGCCTTCAAGATGAGAGGGGTATTTCTCTTGTCAAACCATTGGACAGCAGAAAAACAATACTGGAGTAGCATTTCAGTCTCTCACTTTGCCGAGATAACTCAGAAGAACTGTTGAAGCGAGATTCAGTCAGGCATAGCTTCACATGCAGCTGTAGACTATGTATCACCCCAAAACAGGGTTAAGACTCCAGTGAAATGTTTTATGTCACCACACTGCAATTCCCAGGATCCTCTGCGAGAAGTGATGTTTGTTACATTGGTACAACTAAAATAAATTATGTAGGGCAGATACATTCCTCAGCCACTTGAAGAGGTATGTAACAAGCTTTTTAAACACCAAGTGGATTGGTAATCCAACATTACAGCAGAAACAAACTCATAGCAGGAGCAAACTATTCCAGAAAGATTTGTTTTGTTGCTAATTAAATTGCAACTTGCATTGGCAAAGCTCTCTGTACGTCTGTTGGTCTGCTCACTAGGCATTTTCACACAAAACCCCCCTAATTAAATTCAAATACACAATCCAACTAACAGATGGGAGTGTCTTTCTTGTGGATTTGCCACTGACTAGAATGCTTTGAAAATGAGAAAGTAAATGGAAGGCTGGGCTGCATACACACTAACCTGATCGTAGCATAAACATGTAGTTTTTTTCAATCTGGATTCATGCATGTTCAGCCACATTTGAAAACCCTCCCCTTGATTAGGTTACCCATGCCTTTTCTTCCCTGCACATGCTTCAGGTAAATGAAGGAGGAAGTGGTGATTGCAGTTTTGGTGTATGCCCACCCGCAGTGTCACTGGGCAGGGGTAGATAACCCACCCACCATTGTCAGAACCACCTACATCTGTTTTAAAATGGACATATTGAGGGGAAACGCAGACTCAAATCTGCAATGTGCTTTTATTTTCAGAGTGAAACCAATTTCTCAAGAAGTGCTTTTCAGGGGCAAAAAAATATGCAGTAGATCTAGACTGTGTGTGGACTATGTAGGGGGGAAAACTACAACAAGTACCTAGTCTTAATGGATTCTATAATAAAATGTTGTTTGTACATAGCCTTGACATTTTTTCTGTAGATTAGCAGGCAAAGTTGAACATATAGCAGTAGAAGTACAGCATGATCCTGTTTTTCAATTTTGCATGGAATTAAGGCCATTGAGTTGAGTGGGCTTGCGGCCAGGAAAGCGTGCATGGAATTCCACTCTACATCAACTGTCTTATGCAAGGCATACTTACCAGAAGTGAATCCCACAATATTCAATGGGGTTTACGCCCAGGTCAGTGTGCATAAGGTGGAAGCCTTGTGCTGCAGTTCAAATTCCACTTAACCTGAGAGTAAATCCCATTGAATGCAATAGGATTTAGTTTGACCAAACATTCATAGCATCTAACCTGCTTAGGTGGGCAAGAAATGTATTGTGCAGTTTCATGTAAATATACATCCTATCAAGGTTCCATTCTTTGTGTTCCTTCCTTACCTTGCCCTTCACTTTTTCTTAGTTCTCTGGGTTATGTATATAGCACACTAAAATGAAGAAGAAATTGCTTTAATTTGCTTTCCAGACGAGCAGTTGCACTGATCTGATGCACTGTTTTGGGTTACTTTTCTTTTCTTTTAATGCTCTTTTTGAGAGTAGGTGTTAAACCCAATGGGGCTTACTTCTGAGATGATAGATTCAGGACCATTTTTTATTCTGGATTAATTAATCCAGAACAAAATTGCCCCTGGCTCCATCTGTGATCAACTAGCTCAGCTCTGCACCGGCATGCGACATCCCATGCAGATTATTTCCCAAGGGAATGCCTTCCTCAACAGTTTTGCCCACCCCCTGCCTTAGCACCTCACACTCTTCCCATTTTACGATAGGTAGATTATAAAGCCTCCACCAATGTGGTTTGGCCAGGTTTTCTGACCCTGAACCACAGAGGGTCACCTTGACCATGTCAGCAGAAGTTTTTTGTGTGTGTGACCTTAGTGTTGTAGGAGCAGTTGCGTGAGCTGCCTCTCCTGGGCTGCCGAAGTATCAATTAATCATTGCAATGCACCAGAATCAACAAAAGAAGAACACCATTTCTACCTGAGAAATGGCTTTCCTCTTCTTCTTTCAGTTCACCAGTCCTTTTAGATAGCACGGCTGCTTCAGATTCTGCAAGAACAGCCTGCTCTGCCAAAATGAATAGTAAAGCATTATTCAAATAGGGGCATAAAATTAGAATGAAAGGGCTCTAATGAGGATACAAATCTGGATATGAAGACGGCTGAATCTGTTGGCGATTGGGATTTTACAAGCATCTTTGTAAATCATTTCTACCCAGCTGACGTGCACAGAGCAGAAAAGTTGTACACCAAAGAACTAATGTTTTTCTTTCGTTAGACAAAAACAAAATAATGCAAGGCCTAGTTAGCTTTTCTGTGGACTGTGCCTTCATGGAGCTTCAGTGTACCATATATAATAACTGTTATCCCCACTTCAGAAAGTGTTATTACACAGCTGAATGATGGCTTGAAGAACAGAGGTTCTCTTTCCTTTGTTTTTCCCCTCCATCTCTCTGGGGAGTTAACTGCTAATTATTCCCTGCCTTGTCTTGCAGTCAGTCTGCCCTCTGACAATGCATTCAGAAACTACGCAGGCCTCAATCCTGAAACACATATGCCCGCGAAAGGAACTCTGCCAAAATCAAGTCTTTTCTTCTGAGGAAATGCATTCAAGATAGCAACAGCCATTTTGTAAATGTTTTGGGCTGATAGCCAATCCAGGAGATTGTGGAAGCCATGGGACTTTTGCAGGATGAGACCCACGGGAACTGGCTAGATTGGAAGGATGGGAGGAAAGAGAGGCATGCATGAGCATTTAAATATTAAAAAAAATCAGTGGGGAGCAGCAATTTCCTAAACCTACTAGTTCTGGGATTCAACTGTTATCATGAGATGAATGGCAATAGCTCAGTGGTACAAAGAACATCTGGTTTACATACATAAGGCCCAGGATCAGTCCCTAGCATCTCCAGTAGGACTGGGAGAAACCCCTGTCTGAAAGATTCTAGTGTTCTTCAGCTTTGGGTCTCTGTATGTTGTTGGTCATTCCTGACCACTGGGCTAAGCTGGCTGACAATGATTGGAGCTGTAATTCAACAACATCTGGGACTCAAGGTCGATGAACATGGATATAGAAGATATTGAACTAATGGACCAGTGTTTTGGCTCAGTATATGACAGCTTCCTATGTTCCTCCTTGGCCCAAGACAGGCAGAATTTACCACAATATAAGATCCCACCACACCCACACCCTGTATTGACTATCTCTAAGTATGTCACGCACACTTTTGCCGTTTTAACTCATTTCCTGTTTTGTGACAACATTGCAGTCTCTTCCTCATTGCATGGCTGATTTTGTCGATGGTCCCAGATAGCACCCCACAATCCCCTGGGGCTGCTTAACCATGTTTGATGAAACCTTGAGGCCTGTGTACAGCAGTTCTGAGCAGGGCAGGGGCTACAGAGCTGAAGAAGTTGGCAGGGCATCCTGAGAAGCAGGCTGGTCTAGGTATAGTTGAGGAGAAGCACATATCCCTTCTCTACTTCTGGTCTCCTGGTTGACCTAGTATGACCAAGGAGGATGGGTTTGTTTGCTTAAGGCAGGGGTGAGGAAACCTCAGGCCCAACAGTAAAATGCGTCTTTCCGGAACTTTCTATCCAGTGGCTGGAACTCTCACCAGCCCATGTCCGCCACACACAATACACCCCTCATTGTCCCCGTGCCACACTCTCCTCTAAAGTTCCTGAACCATGGTCATTTCTCTTGCTTGCCTCGAAGGGGGATAGAGATATGTGTCTGTTTTCATGGTGGAAATGTAGCCTCTCAAACAAAGGCACACCCATTGTTCTGCTGAAAAAGGTTCCCCACTTCAGGGCTTAAGGTATGTAACTGCCAGGCTCCTGCACAGATTGTGTGCCTAAACACTTTTGTTAATGCAGACTGTTTTGTTGACAACATTTTTTTAACTTTTTTTTTTTTAAAGAAGGGAAGCATCACTGAGAAATTGTCTACTACTACTTCTCCAAAGGGAAAATGACCTGAAGGGTTCTGAGTGTGGCGGTTCAATTATCCATTCTCTGATAGGTTCAGGGTGACCACCAGATATCAGAGAATATTGTAACCTTGGGTTACAAACACCTCGGGTTACAAACGCTTTGGGTTACAAACTCCGCTAACCCGGAAGTAGTACCTCAGGTTAAGAACTTTACCTCAGGATGAGAACAGAAATAGCGCACCGGTGGCAGCGGGAGGCCCCATTAGTGAAAGTGCGCCTCAGGTTAAGAACGGTTTTGGGTTAAGAATGGACCTCAGGAACGAATTAAGTTCGCAACCTGAGGTACCACTGTATTGCTCTGCTGGAAGCCCCTCTTCCTATTTGCACTAGGTCCCCTAAATCCTTTCCTGGTTCATTTGTAATTCTGAGAGATTTCTGTAGGGAGAAGAAAAAAGCCAAAAACTTTTGATTTTAAGCATTTTATTTGTTCGGGTCAATTAAGCAAAATAGAAAATGCACATCTGACTGAGTTACTTTCCTAAGTGGTTGATTTGGCTAAGCAGTTATATAAATCCAACTAATTGATTTAGGGAGTCGAGTGGAAATATTTGTTTCAGATAGGATTCTTTTTAAGCCTTTGTAAACTCACTTGCTGCTCCTCACACTGTTTCAGGTATCTTGCATTAAAAGGGGGGCTTGTTGCAAAGATTCACAAGGCCTTTGTGATTTTTAATAACCCTGGACAGTATTTCCTTTTGGGTTTGATTTCCGTTCCCTACCCGACCCACCCCCGCCACGTATAAAGTATTGATTTTTGTTAGTCTAAGGCAAAGCTACGTGTGCTTCTCAGTCTCAGCAGCAGACAAATGGCAGAGATGTACGCAGCTGTCAAATTGGCTCTGACGTCTGTGAGATATATAAACTGTAAGGAGCTGCCTTAAACCACAGTCCATTAAGTCTGTCATGCATTCTCTGCTTTGACTGGCAGCATTGCTTCAAGGTCTTAAAGAAGAGTATTTTTCTCCAAGTCTGCCTACCTGAGATTTTTTTTATCTGGAGAAACTGGGGTCATTGGTCTGCTAAGCATTTGCTCTCCTGCATGAGTTATGTGCCCTTTTCAGAGAGAGGCATGTACAATTCAAAACACTCTCTGGCTTGTGAAACTAGCAATTCCATATGATGATATCTCTATACCACTGGTACAAGTAGACAATTTAAAGATATCAGCAAGGCAAGAGACATGCAAGATGGACACTCATGTTCCAGGCCTTTGGGTGCTTCGACCTGAGGGTATGTGACTGGGCAAAGGATATAGGTTAGTGAGAGAGACAGAGCATATTCATTTTTATAATTGATTTTAAATCCACTGGTTGAACATACGTTGTTATAAACAAAACATTTCCCCTGTGGCTTTTCTATCCCCCCCTTCGAATATTCTATAATCATAGCTCTGTTATTACCAAGCAGTTTTTAGCTCATTATCATCAAATCCCACATATTTTGCTTCCTTCCTCTACAAAAACAGTTTTTTAATCCCACTTCTACCCAATGAGGAGTTAAATCTTTAGCTACAGCCTTCTTGCATCCAGAAAGAGATTACGGACCAGTATCCTGTACTTCTCTTTTACTCAGTTGTGCAAATAATTTAGCAGCTCTGCCTGTGGTATATTGTGTGTGTGTGTGTGTGTGTGTGTGTGCGCATGCGTGCGCGCGCGCACACACACACACACACACATGCACATACGTTTTCAAAATTCTTAGTTTATTTTTTATTTAATGAAATTTATACACCGCTTGATTTTAAAAGTGCTCAAAGCAGTTTACAAAAAGACAAAACAGTAAAATCAAGAAAAAAACCACAGCCCTGCTTCAAAACATACAAAAGTCCAAAAATGAAAACAGATTAAAATTACCTCATCTTTCTCAGCTCCTATGTAGGTTTGTCTGAACAGGAATGTTTTTAGCAGGTGCCAGAGTCTCAGGTGATCATGCTTATGTTCTGTCTGTAGTAAAATCTGTCCGTGATAGTAAATGTGCTGGATTAATGTGAAACCACAAAGAAACCGTTTGTATGAAGCTTTATTTGTATAATTGCCTTCGACATTATATTATTGTGAACATAATGAAAAACAAAAAATGTAGTTGACCACTACTCTCTCCAGGAAGTAAGGACCATAAAAAGCAATCTATAGCTGCCTGTTTTATGAACAGAGTGAAACCTATCCTACATACTTCAGGTCTTTACTGTATTTGATTAAATAGTGTGGATTGGTCACTTAGACAATTACCCACAAATAACATTGTTGTTTCTTATTTCCCCCTCAAGGTTCCACCCGCAACCTGTCATACCCTGTTGTGTTCTGCCCATAATCCAATAGGCCACAAAATAGCATACAAGCCCTACTTGGGAATCCTCTTTCAAAATGTTTAAACGTCCTCTTGTCAACAAAGAGGTTTTCCCAAGGTGGATTAAACAGAGCAGCGAGGTGCTTTGACAGGTCTTAGTGAAAAGTGTGTTCTGCAGTTGTGGTCATATTTCTGAGAGCGCCATACCCCAGGGACTAAAAGGCTTCACTTCCTGAGAAAATACGGCCTTGAACAAATCCCCAAAGCACATGAACATCTACATAAGGGATGTCTGTATGATTCATATTAGGGCGTGGTAGACTGCCTTAGGTTGCAGATGTTAGGACACCATTAAAGGACAGTAAATTGTCCATTATCGTGTTTATTACTATATTACCACCAGTGGATGCCACCTGGATTTTCTTCCTCAGGCCCACAGATATCTTTGGCAAGCTCTGGTTGTATACATTTCCAGCATTGTCCCTAGTTTTGTCAAGCGCTGCAAGCATGATTCATATTTCTGGTAAAGCATAAGGCAATTAAAATGGAACCATGAAATTTTTTGCACTGTTTTCTCATTCCTGTTTGTTTGAATAATGAATGCCTCAGCTGTAGCCCGTAAAGTGATTGCATTTTCTTCTTCTTCACTTTTGCAGGTTGTCTTAGTCTTCGCTCTTAGTATTGGTGCTCTTGTAATATACTTCATAGATTCGTCAAAGTGAGTATTTTAATACATTTCCTGTTCCCTTCCGCCCTCCCCTAAAGCAATTATGAGACTTTGTATTGCTCCATTCATCTACTTCAACTCAAAGATTTGTACTCATCACCTGCATACAATAAGAGAAAGGGGGAAAACACTAACACGTGACACAGTCTCCCAGGCTTAAGTTTCAAAGAGAATGGGGGAAGGTCTTGTGTAATTTTTGCCATATTTTTATTTTTCATGTTTTGCTGTGGGGTGAGAGAGAAATAATTCCTGTTTTCAGAATATGAGGAATTTAGACACATTTTATTCTTACAGTCAGCAGGTTAAATATCTGTTCACACACTTTTTTTAAAAAAATAAGTATAGCATGGCATAAGACAGGAGGAGACGGGACCTCATGGAAAATTAGATTTGTAAGAATTAAAATAATTGTATGTACCGTGGACCAAATTAGACATTCTGGGTAAATGCATGGCTACAACTCAAGAATGCCACCATTGCAACTAATCCCTCCTCCTCTGCACTACCTAGTAGAACTTCCATCATATTGTGATGTTATAACATTCCACATTTTACTGCCATTGGCAGTTAATGATGCCGAGTAGGAGCCAGGAATGTGGAACACTGTGACATCGCAACACAAGGCAAGTTCAACTGACATGAGTGGGAAGGACACAGCCATTTGCAGTATCAGTGGCACACTGTGGGCATTATTGAAACCAAACTAGATACTGTGTTGGCATTGTCAGGCCAAACCACATACCGCAATAACTAGTCTGGTATTGCTAATAGAACCTAAAAGTCAATGGATGAATTCTGCCATGTTGTTGTTTTTCCTGTCTCTTGTGGAATGCAGAATCCTGAAAACAATATAACATTTTATTTTATGGTTAGCAATCTCCATTGATGTCAATCAAGTAGGATAATACTGTAAATGTGTTTCAGAAAGTGTCACTGTTTCATCACAGTACCTTTCTTTAGTACAGTAACTCAAAAGGAGCGCTGTGTCTTTATGTACAATTATATGATTATAATTTATCTTTGATCTAGTTAATAATCACATCTGTAGTCCCACCTGCAAGATGACCTAGCATGGCTATGGTGTTTGCCCGGAACAGCCTTCCCAAACCTGATGTCCTCCTAACGTTCTCAACTAAAAGTCCCATCTACCCCAGCTAGCACAGCCTAGGATTGAGGATGATCCCTTCCAGCTCTACAATTCTATGACAGAAGTTGGAGTCCAAAATATCTGGAGGGTACCTGGTTGGGGAAGGCTGTTCCAGATGATTGTGTGCACCAAATATTACTCTTAGTTTTGCTTGCTTCACACACAATCCACCGAAAGGAAAGCAGCTCCAAGTGTTTTGACTTCAATGGGAGAGACTGAAGCAGGTGGCTAGTTCTTCCATTGAACTCAGTATTACTGCTTCAGTTTGGTTGGATCATGCCCGTTGTTTTGTAGGTTCACGCCTGAGATGTAAATGTAACAAACATGTCGCATACATACCTCTCATATGGATGTATTTGTCAGAGAGTTAGGATTGGTTGCCCTATAATGTGCGGATGTCTGTGTGTGTGTGTGTGTGTGTGTGTGTGTGTTTGATATCCTGCTGTCTGCTGTGCAAGGCAAAAAGCAGGGGGAATCAGGTGCAAAAGCCATGGCACCTCCACAGCACCATGCCTTGTAGTGTTCTCCCAGAGCATTACAGCACCCCTCTATGTAGCCCTTGCATTGTATCAAATATTTTGTGATCTGGTTTTCATTTCGAAAGCAGCACATTCAATGCAGTTGAACAAATTACCCTCTCCCAAAATACTTGCCTTTCAGACTTGGCATCTTGACGTGAGCTGGAAATCAGTTGTTCGGGAGTGCCCCAAAAAGGCAAAACTCTGTTGTTGGGCTAAAACATCAACACCCTCTTGCTTAGCTTGAGGCCTCCTTTCTTCTCCCTCCTTGCTGTGCTCAGCTTCATCTGTCCTCGCTGCCGCTTTATTCTATTGGCTGTGGCAACCTACCTGATTTGAATATTTGTCTGTTATGTCATCATGTCAGATGTATAGTGACATCAGCAACAGACTGATGTTGGTCACCACAGCCCACAGGATTCATCAAGACTGTGGACAAATGAAGCAAAAGTCAGTGAGTTCAAAGGGTGTGGGGTGGTGCCAGGGAAAAAAACAGCACCAAAACAATGTGAACATGTCCACAACATATGCAAAAAAAATTTCCCCCTCCGAGAGAAGGCATGTCAACATTAACCAAAAAAAAGTAACTTGAAGGTATGTAATTAGCTATGGGGTTTTCCTCCCACCACCACTATGGAGCATGAGGCTAGGCTGACCACTGGTTTAGCTGTGCCATGAAAGATCAGGCATTAGTCAGATATGGGAAGGGCAGGATTGTGACTGGAATGGAATAGTGGTGAAATTATATCCATACCATTCCTTGGGCAGGATAAGGGAATTCTCTTATAACCCTGGAATGCCACAACCACCTAATATGCAGATTTAACCCATAGATAAGCATTCCAAGACCAAGAATACCAAAAACCCCTTTCTGAGTATGGGCAGATGCAGAAGTGGCAAACACCAGTGACAATTCCAAAGACTTCCATCTCATTGACACACATAGGAAGGAGGCAAAGGGAAGGAGAGAAAGAAGAATGGAAACATGCTGAACACAGGACCTCATTAGCTAACTTGGGTCTGGCTGATTCTGCAGCACGCCTGTGTGTGGCAGGAGGGGAAGTCTCCTATGACTAAATAAAATTGCACTTCTGTAGGAAAATGTACTTGCCTTTTTCCTGACTATTGTTCATTTTTTATGTCAGAGCTATTTTGAACTACAGCTACTTTCTTTCGATCAATGTTAATCTTTAGTCACTTTTTTAAAAAAGCATTTTATTTTCACTTTTTAAACAGTATTCTTATACATTCACATCATTTTCAGTTTTTACACTGCTGGGATTATTTAGATCTCTCAAACTTCCCCCCACCCCCCACCCCTGGTTTCCATTTTTTCCCTATATTTTTTTGCACCTCATTACATTTTTCTAAAATCTTTAGTCACTTTCTGTTGTTGTGTTATCTGATGCTTTTGAATGGAAAGAAGCACAACATGAGGTTCAGCTATTCCATATTTACTGTTCCCGGGGCTTGCTCAGAGCGGAGAGCAGAGTGCCTAAAACCTAATAACAATAATCATTTTGGCTGCAGAAAACCAAGGCAGCTGGGCATCCCCAATGCTCAGGATGCAGTGGCTGCTGGTCCATCCTCTTAAGGCTGCCGCAGAAAGGCAGCCTCCATGTTGTTGTTTAGTCGTTTAGTCGTGTCCGACTCTTTGTGACCCCATGGACCAGAGCACGCCAGGCACTCCTGTCTTCCACTGCCTCCCGCAGTTTGGTCAAACTCATGTTGGTAGCTTTGAGAACACTATCCAACCTTCTCGTCCTCTGTCGTCCCTTTCTCCTTGTGCTCTCCATCTTTCCCAGCATCAGGGTCTTTTCCAGGGAGTCTTCTCTTCTCAGGAGGTGGCCAAAGTATTGGAGCCTCAGCTTCAGGATCTGTCCTTCCAGTGAGCACTCAGGGCTGATTTCCTTCAGAATGGAGAGGTTTGTTGTTCTTCAGCCTCCATAGCATGTTGCAAAATATGTTCTCACACTGGATGCCAAAGACGATTGCTGTGGGAAGGAGGTGTGGGGCCCTTTGGAGAAGGGCTGCAGCTCATACAAACATAAGAACAGCTCTGCTGGATCACATGAATGGCCCATCCAGCCCAACATCCTATTCCCAAAGTATCCAATAGCCTAATTCTCCATGAATTTGTCTAAACCCCTTCTAACACTATCCAAGTTGGTGGCTGTTGCTATATGTCACGGGAGGGAATTCCATGGTCCAGCCATTGCTGTGTAAAGATATATTTCGTTTTGACCACCCTGAATCTGCCAGCATTCATCTTCATTGTATGACCCTGGGTTCTGGTATTATGAGAGAGGGAGATTTTTTTTTTTAATCCACTTTCTCCACAATGCCTAATTTTATACACCTCTTACCATGTTTTCTTTTACACCCATTTTTGTTCTAAAATAACAAATCCTTAACCTTTCCTGATACGGGAGTTGCTTCAGCCTCATTATCATTCCAGTTGCCTTTGCTGAAGGCTTCTCAGCTCTACGATAGAAATGAACACCTTATTCCAAGTGTGGTTGTGCCATTGATTTGTGGTGGTGTTATGATATTGGCAGTTTTATTTTCAGTTCTTTTCTGAATGTCCCTCGGCATGGAATTCAGCTTCTTCACCGACAGAAACTCTTTCCCCCCTGTTTTACTCATCTGCTGAGAAGCCCCTGAATGTTTATCACAAGGCACCATTGCACTGCAGAAGAATTCTGTGTGTTTGTGTTCCAGGACACACACTTGTTTTATGTGGGGCACTGGCCAGACAAGTTAAACCTCACCATCTCCCTTTTTGGAGTGAGTGTTTGCTCTGTTCCCAGTGGCAGTAGCTAGACTCAAATCAAGACACAGGGTTGGAGGTTTGTTAGAAGCATTTTGGCTGTACCACCAGGCTTCATGAATTGCTGCTGGGCTGACAATTTATGTGTGCAATTTGATAAGATCACGCATCAGTGAAGGGTTTGCACCTAAATATTCCTTTTAGGTCCCAACCAGATGTGATGGTCCAGTAGAAACTCAGCAAAGCTCCTGTTTCTGCTGCCACTTTGGAACAGCCAGAAAAGAGGATGGCAGGCCGGTTGGCCAGTTGGCTTGTGTCGTGAAAGGGTAGACTACTCCTGTGTGGGCAGCATGTCTAACTCCATTTTCAACAAACCACTTTTGTAAAATGATATGGATTCATCTCTTGTTTGGATTCTGGCCGAATCCACTGCCGATTGCACTAGAAGCTCCGGGTGTTGCTTTGTAGTACAGCAGAGTTATTGCTGATAACTGAATTGTTTTGAAGAGCCTGCTTGCTTTGGGAATCCTAGCCTGTGGGGTTTCAGAAACTCTTTGATTAAAGCATTTAATTTCCCCTCCTTCAGATAAGGAACTTTCCCTAATAATAAGAGATGCCCCTGGGATAGCTTGAACTTTATATGGGTTTCTTACTCAGTGCTTTACATCCGCTCCTAGTCTTGCTTTTCACCTTCTGAAAATAAGAGAACAGTGAATGAAAGCTCATATTAAGAAAAGGAAAAAAAAGGCATCTTGAAGAATGTCAAGCTAAGTTGCTATTGGTATCTACACACCCTTTCCTTTATGGGGGGGGGGGAATTGCCATCACTAGCAACACAGAAACACTGTGCTCAGCACTCTGGAGGGAGACAGTCCAGCTCGATTTCTCACATTAAGGGCTGTGCAGAGGTCTGTTAGGCCGGTGTACAATCAAAGCGAGTGAAATATTATCCTATTAAAATTCCCAGTGAAGTCTGCTGTTTTGTAAAGTCATGCCAAAAATTTCATGCCGGCGCATTTTATCAAGTCTACATTTTTGATGGGTTAAAAACTAAAGTATGGAAAGTCAACAAGAAGGGAGAGAAAAAGCCAGGAAAAAGCAGAAAAGCCAATAAAGAAGAGCACCCGTAATGGAAAATGAAAACAATAATGGAAAATGAAAACAATAATGGAAAATGAAAACAATAATGACCAATAGAATCTTGTGCAGAAGAATGGAAGATGTGATAATTAATAAGTATGCTGCAAACACTTGGTCATGTTTAATAAACAGTAGCAAAACCATGGACTGCAAATAAAATGTTTTGAATGTGTTGCAAAGTGCAATATACAATTGTGACACTAGATGGCAACTGTGAGCTATAGCTGATTCCATGCATTTTTCAAAACAATTAGAAAAAAACAATTTTCACAAAGTTTTTAACGTATGTAGATTCCACCTATGTAGTCTTATGTGGTACAAAAGTATCACCTGCCAATGAAAAGGCAAAAAATTATGAAGTATCACAGAATGTGACAGTCTTCTTGTCCAATGACAGCAGAGGTTTCTGCCCATGGAAGGCAAGTCAGCTAACCTGTTTTCTCAGGTTGCAACCACAGGCATGGAAAATAAGGCTTAGAGCTATCTTGACTGGTACATATTCCTGCTTGTTGGCCCCTTTGATTGATGCTGAGTACTAGGTGGCTTCTTCCGATTTGCACTACTAATTGTGAAATAGTGGAAGCTGCAGCTCCATTTCATTACAGGTTAAAATTATTTTGGAAGGGCTTTTCCTTTTTTCTGTTTCTTTGCTTTAAAATACATATTTTTATCAGTGGCTGTCTCAAGGAATCTTTTGAGTGTTTAAGAAATTCATCCATCCTTTCCAAGGCTCATTGTTGAAGTCTTTTCTTCCTTTTGTTTACCTTCCTATGGCGTTGCTCAGGTCAAAGCCAGGTTATGCATGGTACAGAATCTGATCCTACAGTTGATTAGAAGTATCATATGTCTTTTCAGTACATCTTACAGGTTATTGTAAAAAGTTACAGCTGTTCATATATGGCCCAGTGACCTCGGCCAGCAAGAACCAATCCTATTCTTTTGCCATTTATGTTTTGATTGCAAAAGTACAGTGTTTTATCCTATTAAAACATCTGGGTATCCTATTAAAACATCACATAGTATTTGACTTTGACTGATTTATGCTACGTATGTTATCTCCAGTGTTTGGCTTTGTTTGTTTGTTTTTTACACTATTGTGCTCTTTTTACTTTTATATCAGGGATGTAGAACCTGTGACCTCCAGGTGTTATTTGACTCCAGCTCCCATCAGCCCCAGTCAGTATGACCAGTGGTGAGAGCTGATTGAAGTTGCAGACCAGCAGCATATGGAGGGCCACAGACTCCCCATCCCAGAAAGAGGGGCATATCCCCCATATTTTATAAGTGTTCGTTACCCAATGAGCACATGGCCAGTCCTCATTTAGATGTTTTTGGGATTATCCCTAAACTTATTTTTGTAGTTTTGCAAACCCTGTGGTTCCCTCAAGTTTGCTGATCTTGTGCACGATGGAGCCATTTTGACTGCCTAAGGACTGGCACTCAGAGATACGTGTTGTTTTCTTTGAGTTTCTGTGCTGCTGGGACGATGCATCCCAAAACAAGAAACACTCTGCTCTATTTCTAAGCACATCTGAAGCCTATCATGTCTGATACTTTTTGCAACTCCTTTCTCCTCAACATTTTCGTATTTGGAATCTTGCATTTTGGTTCTAAGAGTGCCTTCACAAGCCTTCCTTATTCATTCCCCCACCCCCATGGGAAATGATTTAGTTATGCACACAGAATTAGTGGCATACTTCTTTACACATAAAATTGGTGCAGTGCAAACTGTAAAATAAGCCTGGGTGATTTAAGAAGGATGGGGTGGCTTTTGCAAAGCAAATTTTCTGTGACAAACCATTTGTCAAAACAGGAGGATTTGCAAGGATCACTGCCTTTCAATGTGACAAAGCAAAAAATAATCACATCCCCATTATCAGCTTTCAGCAAACGTGACCTTGCTTATTTCCCGCTGCCCCCCCCCATGACAATTTGACAGATGTAGCTTTTGGGAGACCCCAGTAGTTAATGAGTCATCTCTAGTTAAAAATAGACTTCCCCACAGCAAGGACACCCATTCCATTTTTGATGCATTTGTCACCACTGATGGAGTCATAGCACCAACTTTGCCGCATTATGGTTCGAAGTCTGAGGGGAGCCTCTCTCTCTTTGCTGTTGTTCATGATTCGAGGCAGTTCTAAAACTACTGCTTTGGCGGCTAAAGATAGAC